AATTACCCAAACAGGGACTACCGCACCTCTCCGCATGCAGGGATGGGTGGGGGTGGCTCTCGGTATGCGTGGAATGTTACAAACCTATATATTATTATTTGTATCCTTTTTCAGCCTGTATCTCCGAAACTATTTGAGTCCGCCCCTTATATATATATATATGTATATATGAAATGACTCGGGAAGACATCCCCAACAACATATTTAAAAATAAAACAAATCGGAGAGGAAGTCGCTTTTATGCATAATTACCCAGATTTCAATTCGTTATATCTCCTAAACCAATGCCGTCCCCCACTTGATTCTTGCGGGGAATTACTCAGAAAACTCTCCCCTACAACATATCTAAGTGCCGAGGACATCGGTGAGGTGTGACCTTTTATGCATATTTACCGGGGGTTGGGCAGTAGGCAGACAATTTATTTTCGGAAAAAAATTAATTCTGACTTGAAAACACAAAAAAGGCCTCAAAGATTGCAAAGAAGACAAGAAACTCGAGGAAGCCCGACCTGAACTGTGGCGCTATTGTTATCCACTTATTGGAGGCAAAGATGTATAATTACAGCACTCTTATAACTACAGCTATTATATCATATAATTAGTATGTCTAATATTCCTCCTATTTTCTTTCAACGAACATGTTAAGTTTCTGTGGAAGCAATGTCAATTAAGTCTTGGAAGAATAAGTAAATTACCCTGACAGTCGATAAGATCTTATTGTCCAGGGAATGCCTGTAAATTCTGAAATCGTTTGGCATAAATTGAGGAAAGTATATGTATCTCGTCCCATTGCGATCGATTCCTAAAACCGTTTCAAATTGGTCCTGCCACGATTGGTTCATCATGTCTTCCTGAACTGTTTTTTTAGTATGCTGTAAGAATCATGGCGGTTGAATTTGATAGTGCCTTGTTTCTAAGATCATATGCGAGAGATTACTCACCATGATTGTATCACAGACTGTTTTCAGTAACCAGACTCTCTGTTTGAAGCTGAGATCTTCAAAGTCTCTGCCATCGAGCATCGAAGTCTCAGGAAAGATGTTCCAGAATTCTGGCTCAACGCCGATAGTTTCTAGAACCTAAAAATCTTTGATCACATTCCTGGTCACTGAGATGCATGTTATTATGTGCGTATATACAACGTGTACATGTGTTTAAAAAATATCGCAGATATTGTAGATAAAACAATTATAAACTATTATCGGTACACAACTTGCAAACTTGCGACAATACATACTTTAGTTGCGTCTTCATGCTTCGCGCGATACACTTTGAACCAACTCGTCATTTTGTACGCGAGAATGTTGGTCCAAAATTCATACGGCATCGGCGGGACCTTGCGTAGCTTGGTAGTCGGGGAACTATAATTTAAAAATTGATTTTTGTATTGTTTATCATACAATTAAGTTTAGTGTTGCATTTTACGTAAACAAGTCATGATGTTTGCTAGTTGTTTAGAGGCCCTCGGTATCAACAGCATCCTCTCCATTTCGTACAAAGACAACTGAGGTATATTAAGAGATTCCTTCGTTAAGTGGAGGAAATGGAAGATTTGCGGTATCTGAAAGAGTGTCACGAGTGATATTTTTTTTACACGACCAAGGATCCGCTAAAATCATGAGCAATCTTAATTACCTCCAACATTGCTTTCATTTCCTCCCTCATCTCGTCGGTAAAGAAATTATCCTGTTCCCCATCGTTTGCTTTCCGCTCTTCATCCTCTTTTCACTTTCTAGTCCTACACGACATTTTGCCTATAACAAACGACGGGATCATTTTATCAATAAGTAAAAATCAACGAAAATCAAAGACACTGAGAGAATAAATAATGAGGATTGATCTTTGAATATTTATTGTGCCGAGGATGACTCGAATATATCAAAACGTCCATTGTTATCGTCAATTTGTTTTTACAAATTGTAATCATAATTCAAGTATAGTTGATTAAAAAGCACCAAGTCTAAGCTCCAATTC